CGCCTGAAATGGATGAAAGATAAGTAAACCGACCCTCTTCGTCCTATGCTCCTCTTGATAACTAAAATGGAAAAAAAAACTGAAAAGCAAAAAGGATTTCTGACAAAAATTCGTTCTAACAGCAGAAAACACAATTATAATTTGGCTCAAGGCTAAACGCTCACAGCTCATAGGCACCTGAGCCCGCGTGCGAAGCGGTCGTGATAACGTGGGCTTTCACGTTTCTTGAAGGGTCTATAATATCCTTTAAGAGTCTGCAAATTATGCAGAAGAATGAGTGCTATTCTGTGTAAATGTTCTGAAAGTATGGTGCTCCAGAAAAAATTCCCTCTTTTTTCTTCTTCCTTGTTAATCAAAAGAGAACATTCTTAACGATTGAAGCAATAATAATCTCGAAAGTTTTAGACCGAAAATTTGCTAATTTGTTCATTTATTGCTAAAAAATAGCATTTATCTGATAGTCATTTGCTACATGAGGATAAAGCCCAGATCCCTTTCATAAAGAAGAAAGTTGAGCGCGATCTTGAGCACACGCCTAAAACCTTGCCGGTAGCTCTTCTGTAACCCTTGTTACCATGATGACATTCCTTTTTGGGGTAGGTGATTCTAAGAGATGTCTGTCCTCAAAGCGTCCCTTATTTTAAGACGTTTTCTCGTATATTTTCTAATATTTATGCCAATTAAGAAAAGTATCATGCTAAAAGACCTTCCACAAACAATTTTGAAGAATTGTACGTCGCATAAAGGCTTTCTAAAAAGTGTAATGCTTTTCAATCTTAACTTCTCGAACTCGTCTTTTCGCTATTGGGATATTTGTAAAAAGGCTAACGGAGTAGAATATTCTTAAGCAAAATCACCTTTATCACTGCTGAAATTGTGTGATCTAATTTTTTTTGGGTCAATATGAGTAAGCATATTTCTCATTTTTCAATATATTGTTGCATATTTGAAGGGATAAATCTCAAATAGAAAATGAGAAATTCTTTTTTAGTGTGAGACATGCGCTAAATTCGAGTCGTTGTTTCGTCGGGCTTTGCAGTGCCTTCC